CTTGTTCTTGCCTTTGGTTGTTTTTAAAAAAAAGTTGAAAATAGAAACTGTATCAATCAATAGGTTATGGCCACTCTTAAATGTCTTGAATATTGTTATATATATACAACTTAACCAATGAGTTATAGTAATACACCACTTTTACCAGTCTTGAATATTGTTATATAATCGTTTTCATTATTAATTCCAACCTTCACATTATAAAATACATAATTTTGGTAAATATATATTCATGTATCAGCAAATATACACACATGTTTTTTAGTTTTAGTAAGCATTTTACGGCACTTGCAACACTATAAGGTCTTGCAAGTGCCGAAGATTAGATGTTTTACAAGGGAGTAACAAATATTAAAAAGAAGGAGAGATCAGGACAAAAGATGTTTGATACGAAAGAAGGAGCAAACCACAATAGTGCACCCACCAACCACCCACAAAATGTCCTCGCAATTTTGTATGATGATTTAACATAGATCCAAATAAATGCAGTGAATTTTCTCGCCAAATCATGGTTCCCATTTCGTGGACTTACTGCACGGCGGGTTTCATTTTTGTTTGTTTTGTTTGTTTTATGGTGTTTTTTCCCCTTGCCTTTATGGATTTTTAAAAAAAAGTTGAAAATAGAAACTGTGTCAATAGGTTATGGCCATTCTTAATAGGTCTTGAAGATTGTTATTTGAAACTCTGCCAATAAGTTATAATGAAGCGCCACTTTTACCAGTCTGTGAATAATATAGTTATATAATTATTTTCATAATTTTCAGCATTCATATAAAATGTTTAATTTTGGTGAATATAGTTATATAATTATTTTCATAATTTTCAGCATTCAGAAAAAATGCATAACTTTGGTTAAAATCATATTTCAACAAATATACACCCATAAATGTCTAATTTTCATAAAATACCGTTGGGCTCTTATTTTCCATATGTAGAAAGTTTATAAGAGGGTTTTAAGAGTGCGGGGAGTATTTATAAAAGGCGTAAAATATGTAATAAATATATCGTTTCTACTTAGCGGAGTTCCTGCAATCACGCCACCCCCACGATATTTGAGGGAATGCAATATGCAAAAACTTTTGTTTTAGTAGAGGTTTAAAAAAAAATAGAGAGGGCTTTACAGCGCTCGCAACTGCATAAGGTCATATGAGCGCCAAGGGGCGGGAGTCAATAGACAAGTCCTTACAGGGAATCAGATTTACTCTGCTCACCTCTCCAGCTTCAACAGCGCAAAGTCTGCTTCGAATATGACTATCAAGGCACCCCGGAAATAGCAGTTCACAAGAGAGTGACAAACATACAAAACAATAAGTAGAGGAAAATGACAATAGTAAGGATTAGAAGAGAAAAAGCAGCAGTTCCCTGTTGCAGATCAGGCACAGTTATGAGCGTGACATGATGAATCAGCCCATTTACAATTCTACTGTGCTTGAACGATAAATGATGTCCCCTTTTGGGAATGGCCTAAAGACACTACAGTCAGTGGCACTGCCCCCC